AGAGCTCATCTATTCAGATCAACTTCTATCATGAATTCATGACATTCACATTGTCTTGATTACCTGGATTTTGCAGGTACTCAGAGACTCATCTCTCATTAATAATGAGATTGCAGAAATGCACTGCGGCGTGAGAATCATTGATAAGAAATCTAGGCATATTCACATATACCTGATCAGAGATTGTGTGAGCAGAAAGAGAGTGATTGTAGACCTGCAGAGCTGTAGAAGACACTGGCAACACTGAGAGCTTTACAAGAACTGTTAGCTAGAATCTGTAAGAAATTACTTGTGAGAAGACTTACAGTAAAGAAAGAGACTGCACTGCTTGAAGCCAGAGACTGACCTGAGAAAGAGATGAGATGAGCTGCTGACCTGAAGATCAGATGTGATGATGAGACTGAGAAGAGTGAAGACATGATCATGAGTAGTGATACTCCTACTTCATCAGTCAGTAAAAAGTGATCAGAGAAGTTGCAGAGACACTCACAAGAAGCTCAGTGATGATCAGACATTATTTATAAAGATATTGAAATTGAAAAAATTTTTATTCTTGAGAAGTTCTTGAATCAACATGTGAACATTGTCAGAAACACTCTCTCTCTATCATCTGAGTGAAAACACTTCACAGATGAATGAGAATACTCACAGTTTATAGAAATAAGAGCTGTTACAGAAAAAAGAAAAAAGAAGATGAGATTCTGTGAACAGATCTGAGATATTTATACTACTCTAGAGAGATTTGCTTACACTGTGAGTGATCTCATAAAACAGTCAGATCACTCTAGTAAATAAGAGTGATTATGAATTGCAGATCTGAATCTTTCTATATGACTATAAAGAGTGATTGCAGACTGTGAATATCTTGATTCTATAATTCTACAGAGTTGATGAAAGAATGGAAAATTCCTCACAATTCTACAGTATTAAAGAGCAATGATTTGTAAGAATGAATAAAAAATCAACTTATAAATGTTTCTCTTTGATAAGAATGATCTCACAGAGAGTGATTCATCTATAAGATGAATCTGTGTAATGATCACACAAGAATCTCATGAAAATGATTGAGAGTCAACTGAAATCCTTCTGTATAAAAGATGTGAGATGAATCTGTGTAGTAGTCAGAGAAGAATCTGTAGATTATAAAGAATCTCACAGAATAAGAAACTGAGTGACAGACTCTTTTCTCTTCACAGTAACAAGGAATTTTTCCTCACTGAGATTTTTTATAGATATGAAGAATTTTTAGTGAGTATCACTGCAGTGCTGAGCTGACTATGAAGTCACTCAGTGAAAGGCTTCATGAACAAAGTCTTAGAGAGAGAAAGATATGTAAGAAATCTCACTTCTTACAGATTCTTTATCTCTATTTCTATCTCTTATGTAATCAATAGAGCTAGCGGCTCTTAACTACACATAACTATATAGACTGAAGTTCATGAATACTATTCATAACTCAGCTTAAATGCTATTATACATTTAATCTCTACATTTATCTTTCTATCATAAACACTTCTAGTAGTTAACAGTACATATCATGCCAAGCTGCAAACATCTGAATAATCACCTGCGAGCACTTATTCTTACAAATTAATATACACACTTTAACTTATCTGACAACTATGTTATCACTGCATTCAAGTCTGGCTTTACAAATGATGAGATTGAATTTGAATGAATCAAGTAATTCAATAAAATGATAAAAAAGTGTTAAATGAACAGTCATTGACTGCTATTAATAAATAATCATGATTCTTATCTCACAGAAGAATTTATTTAATACTGCAATCTTCATAAGATTATTCTGTTCAGATTCTCATCTTATATAAGTTATATTCTATAATCTCTTGATAATGTATCTTTTCAGCAGTATAAGCATTATTATACAAAGACAGTTAATAAGACTGCTCACTACAGATATAAGCAGTATGAATTCCTTGCTAATTTGAAGAGTATCTGACTGTAAGTATTCAAACCTAGTACTGTGAGAGCTGGCTTTGCTGACTGTGAAATGTATTCAGTTAATCATGATATAATTCTCAATTGATTGAGATCTCTTACTATTAATAATGCTCTGAATCTCAACATATACAATGATGATGATGATGTATGCAATTACTTTACTCTGTCATCTGCAGATCAATTATCAACTGTCTTCTTATAATTAATCTTCTCAGAGACAGTTGTAAAACTATGTCATTAAATTAATGCAGCAGTCAAGACCTTAGAAGATGTGAAGAATACTCTTACACCTGGTTTGACAAGACAGTTGAACAAGATCTTCAAGAATAGCATAATTCAGATGAAATTGAACATGCACTGTGAGAGTGAACTTACAGATCATTATTAAGCAAATAGATATCAGGTCATTAAATTCTCTCACAGACAGATGTAAGTAGATGAAGTTCTCACTATTAAGAATGCCAATTGCAAGATCATGATCTGTAGAGCAGATGAGATGAAAAAGACATTTAATAAGACTCTTTGATTGATTGAAATCAAATCTACAAAATCTACAGTCATTCAATCACAATAAGATAATTCTATAGAATCTCAACTTACAGTGAATTCTACATCTTCTAATGAGTATATAGATAATCTTTATATTATAGATAGATATGATGGTGATTATTAATTAATTTTTGAAGATTACTATATTCAAAATATTTTCTTTACAGTGTGGTTTTCCATACACTGTGGCGCACTCACTACAGAGAGTGAGTAAGCATGGCACGGTTATATAGATACTCCGTAATTAAGATTGAATAATGAGAAACTTTGAATCTCGCTCCGGAAAATAGATATTCCACAACGCCAAAATCGAAAGCTATCAATCTATCTATCCTATCTGTATGCAACAACCGTTCTCCGCGAACCACGCACTGTCTCTAATATACTCAATTCCTTTTCCAAAAGCCTGATAAACATCGCATTAAATCCGCTGCATACATAATTATTCATTCCGCAACCGAGAAGAAAGAAAAGAAGAACAGCGGGATCGAAATTCTAGAAACCAGAGAGTCTGACAGAATGTCGACAGTAACCACGACTGCGCTACAGAGCTCCAACCCGTATGTATCCAATCTTGATACGCGCATTACTCCTATCTCCTAGCCTCCTCATCGTCCTCCTTCTCCTCCCGTTTCTCCTGAAACTTCCTCCTTCAAATTACTAACCCATCAAACTCATCCGCAGCCCCATCCTCCCACACGGTTTCTCCGCCAAACAACCAGCCACAATCCGCCTATACCCTCTCTCAAACTACACATTCGGAACCAAAGAGAACCAGCCGGAAGAAGACCCGTCGGTACTGGCGCGTCTGAAACGGTTGGAAGAACACTACGAGCAGTATGGCATGAGGCGCACGTGCGAGGGCGTGCTGGTGTGCCATGAGCATAACCATCCCCATGTCCTGATGTTGCAGATTGCGAATGCGTTTTTCAAGTTGTGCGTATATATCCATATATATATATATATATATACGTGTGTAGCGGGAGGGAAATAACCAATTAATATGTTGACATGTTACGTAGACCGGGCGACTACCTGCACCACGATGACGACGAGGTCGAAGGGTTCAAAACACGGCTGAACGAGCGCCTAGCCCCCGTCGGTTCACAGTTTAGCGGCGAAGGGGTGAACGACGACTGGGAAATCGGCGACACGCTCGCGCAGTGGTGGCGGCCGAATTTCGAGACCTTCATGTACCCTTTCCTCCCTGGCCATGTGACGCGGCCCAAGGAGTGCAAGAAGCTGTATTTCATCCAGTTGCCGAAGAAGAGTATGTTCTTGATATATCACTGTATCACTATATATATACATATGCGTATATATGCAGATACTAATAATAAACCACAGAAGTCCTCTCTGTCCCCAAGAACATGAAACTGCTCGCCGTGCCCCTCTTCGAGCTGTACGATAACACGGCACGGTACGGCCCGCAACTCTCGGCCATCCCGCACCTGCTATCACGATATAACTTCGAGTTTGTGGATGAGAATGATAATGTGGTTGCGGTCACACCGGGGGAGCAGCCGGGGCCCGACAGCAGCGGTAGAATGCCCAAGACCAAGGTATTGTTGACGGGGGAGGATGGCGGGACGGGAGGAGGAGATAGTAAGAATGGTGTCGGGGCCGAGGCGGCGGACACGGGGATGGAAGGGGTTGAGGAGCAGTGATGTAATTTTATTTTCCTGCTGTCTCTTTCTTTTCTTGTTTCTTTTATTCACTTTTGTATTCTTTTGATTTGCTCTCTCTATCTCTTAAGGCAGTTTATGGCGTTGATGAATTAACTAACCACTGCGTATATCCCAATACTATTGCACTTTTCAGGGTCGCTACGACATCAGCAACCTAATGCATGAATAGAAGTCCACCTTACAATCAATGCTGGAAGATTCCCTTCTTCTTTATCATCATTACCCGTGGAATCGGTGATTCTTGTCATGCTTATGCCAAAAAGTCTGCTATTACTGCGAAGTTGGAATGAATCAATTTGGCAATCCCTCCTATAACCCATAACTACGACAGGCTATAATATACTTCATTGAGAACTTATCACGCCCACTGTCTGCCATCAGGTGCGTAAAGTGAAAGCCATCGCTCAAAGGAGCATTATCGGTTCCAATACTACGTCATCTTGCTCCGCGATGTATATCCTGCTGTAGCCTGCCCTTTTTCCATCAACCTCCTATGGTGTTAGGATGGAAAATAAAAGATTACCATATAGATATGCCGTTTAAGTTATAAAAGTATTAAGCTCAGATAACACCGCTGCTTGTCAATTCGGAAGGCTGGACTGCCATATTAGCAATATTAAAGGGGTTACAATGATAGAAGTGTCTCCGTGTCCCTGAACGCCCCCGCGTCGAGCGAACGAGCCACAACTGGGACCCGAAGCACGCCTGTAACTAGACTCTACTTCTTCGTGCAATCTTCCATCACAGGAACTGTCTGAGGAATAGGTTGCTTCGTCAGAGTCGACGTCAAGCTCCTCCTGAGGATACCCTTCCGCGTCTTGGTGTCCATCACCCTCCGACGCCCCATCAATGCGATAAATAAGTTAGTCGTAGGAAAGGGAATCGTGCTCATTGAAATTACTCCCAGCGTTATCCCCGGTGTAGTCTTCAGCATCGTAGGATTCACCATCATCGTAGGGCTCGTCGTACGAGTAATCTCCTCCGCCACAATCGTAGCCATATCCATCGTCTGACATCTTTGGTATTTTTCTGGATGCCATATGAGAAGCAATCCGTAAAAGAGAGATAGGTTAGTAGAGAGTGAGAGCAACCACTGTTTAGCTCTCGCCTGCTAGATGAGAGGTATAGGAGAGATGGTAGAAAGGGGGCCGGACTTGGGCGGTTGGGAGGAGTCAAGGAGTCGATGGGTGAATGTTTATTTATGACAAAGTGGAATAAATATTTATACTATATAAATATCACAACAATGAACACACCCATGAACTCTTCAGCACTGGCAAAAGAAAAATATTGTAATATTGCCATTCACACATTGATACAGTTTGTCAATGGTTTCAGAAACCCCCTCAGGCCTTGAAGAATGGTCGCAAAGACCTCCCTACAAAGCCCATCGAACCGAGGAATTTGGCACTGTATATTGGACCGGGAAATGCCATTGTGGGAGAGTGACATATCAGATAAATAGAGAAAGGCCACTCGATGTCAAATACTGCCATTGTACCGGATGTCAAGTTCTGCATGGTTAGTCCTGTGTTTCTCCTCCAAAATACTAAATACCTGCTATTCAGTAGTTACCCCCCTATTTAGCCCCTATTTAAATATCTTGACAGATGCTTGATCCCCATAGACACAAGTCAAGGCTGTATTTATATCAAACACAGCATATGCAAGTTATGAAAAAAATCTCTTGATTTCTAGATCTCTTTAACTAACGAGCCATCCTTAGGTGCCCCATTCCAGTGGGCGGCCATCTTCCATAAATCGGATATGACCTTCACGCACGGCACCCAGGGACTGAATTTCTACAACAGCGCAGAGAAACAACATGCGCATCATCTGCCATGTAAAGTTTCGTGCTCCTACTGCCACTCCCCGATCATGGATGAGGGGAGGAATGTCATATTACTGTTTCCAAGTCTGATTGAATCCAAGAGTGGATTGGAGGAAGAGGGGCAGGGAGGGAGAAATGTGAGGAAGATTTTTGAGCCCAGGTATGTGTTTTGTGTTTTGTAGCAAATTGCTATTGGAAGAGGGTTTTATTTCACTAACATCTCGACGATGTCTTATAGCTGCCATATTTTTTACTCTCAACGGGTGGTTGATGTTAGGGATGGCAAGCCAAAGTGGGCGGGAATGAATGATTCCAGTGATCTAATTCATGAGTAATATGTATATATATATATATACAATATCTAAGTTACTCTTCTCCATAATGTATATAATGTTTCCCGATATTTGGTATATGGCCGTGGGGAGGATATATTGTTTTATTGAGTATAAATATTCCGCCAGTTATTCAGCTAAATATGACGGTACGTACTGATCGCCCGTCCACCCCGCCATCAAGCTGGATCAGCAAACAAAATCCATGCCGCCTCCAACCTCTAGAAACACCTCTCCAACTTCATTCCAATTCCCTTCCCACCTCCTCTTCCTCTCACTGTTCATCCTCGCCTTCTTCCCAAGCCTCTTCATCTCCCTCCTGAAGCCCATCTTCTACATCCCGCCCCTCCACCTCCTCTCCCCATTCCCAACCCCACCAGCAACCACAACCACCTCTTCCTCCCCCATACCATCCACAATGACCTGGCTCCAACGAACTATCGCCCTCCCCCCACGCTCCCGCGGCTCCTACCTAATAACAGACCACATCGTCTCCGAACTCCCCGAGCTACGCACGTACAAGACAGGCCTGCTCAACCTCTTCATCCAGCACACCAGCTGCGCCCTCAGCCTGAACGAGAACTGGGACGAAGATGTGCGGGCGGACATGAGCGATGCGCTGGATCGCATTGCGCCGGAGGATCGGAAGGGGGAGCTGTATAGGCATAGTGCGGAGGGTTTGGATGATATGCCGGTTTGTCTTTCTTTCTTTCTTTCTTTCTTTCTTTCTTTTTTTTTTTTTTTTTCTTTTTTCAATTTTCGTTTCTCCAGATGTATTTTGATGGGATGGAGACATTGGTTGGGGATGGATATGACATGCCATGCAAACGTACGTGGTATGTATGAAAAAATTGATTTGCTAACTGATCCCCCTCCAGGCACATATTAAATCTGCCCTCATCGGTGCATCTGTCACAATCCCCATTACCAACGGGAGACTAGCTACTGGCACCTGGCAGGGCATCTGGTATCTGGAATTCCGCGCCAGTAAGCACTCACGCAAGGTCGTGGCGACTATCCAGGGGGAGAAGATGTAGTTTTTAATATTCTTTCCCACTAGCTATGTGTGTTTTTGTGCTTCTGCACTGACTGGACTTTCATTATTATTTTATCTGGGTATTTAATCTGGAGTTGTTGGACCCTTTGGAACCGGAGGTACACTGTGTAGATAGATATACACCTGCGTCTACAACGAGCTGTTGTGCTCAATGGGAGAGAATCAGTGAGTTGTATGCAAGGAGTCATAGATTCAATCGCTTTGCACATTTAATATGCCTAAGTCGACCTGCTACTCCCAGTATGAAGTGGCTGAAATACGTCACACGGAGAGAAGGGAGATGGCTCCATCGCCTAAACGATTTACCAGATGGGTACCACAACTTTTGATAGAGCGGGTTTGGATTCCATTTATGCCATTCGCTACTCTCGGCCCAACAGGCCCACAAACTATATGTACACGCAGAACGGGCTAGGAAACAGTAAAGGAACAGTGTACGCCACAAGAATTGGCGAAAATTAGCATTGGAAAATGGTGTTGCGCTTTGTTTGTTATTTGAGCTGCAATGAAAGGAGTCGAAAGACGGAATGAAACAAGAAGAAAATGGGATCTATTATATTGTGTTTTTTATTTGCTGGTGTTATGGTAGTTCCGCTCCTATTCTATCGCTGCTCGAAACCTTCTGGCGTGATTCGTTGCGACTCATTGACTTCCGCTGGGTGTCCAAGCGGCTCCAACGGATACGACGTGTGTTCCTGCGCCTCCAGCGTTTTCCGGCTGTTCTCGTTTGCCTGTGTTTTCAAACCGAAAGTTAGATAGAGCAAATCCTGCAGCGGAACAAGTCAAGTCTGCCTTGGTCCTGGGTCCTGTACGTACAAATGGAAGACCGCAGTATTCGCACACGCAAATCTGGGGTTTATCTGTGTTGATGAAGACTCGGGGATGGCCGAGGGGTCCTCCGCCACCGTCGCAGGAGACGACCTTCTCCTTTGTCCATCGCACGGGCTGCTTGTGGATCAATTCGATAGCTGCGTACGGTCGGGGCTTTTTGGTGGGGATGTTAGCATGAGGGTCTTCCTTGCCGGATAATCACAATAGCAATCGATTGGCCGCGTCTCTCTTGCTGGTCGGGATTTCACCATCCCACCGCCTCCTCGACGCACACAATTGAAAAATACATCGAGCAGGTAGCCCGTCCACAAGGATGCAAAAGGAGATGTAGACCAAAAGGAAAAAAAAAAAAAAAAACTTCTTACCTGATACTCCATAATAGTCTGCTCGAACCGTGGCCCAGTCATGGCCTTTTCCCGCGGCTGCTGGCTCTTCGCCCAGATAGCGGTCCGGTTGGGCGCCTGCTTAGCTAGCTGGCGCTGTGCTTCCTCAACCGATTCTTGGAGGGGCAGGTCCCGGGAGCCCATGGCATCTGTCGGCACGGCATTGCTCGCGGAGACGGGGCTGACCTTCTTGCGCGGGTTGGGGTCGTTGGCCGGGATGGCGTTCTCTGAGGGTTCGGACAGGCGTGGTGCCGTGGTTGTGTAGGCGCGGGGGAGGAGGCGGGAAGGGGATGGGCGGGCGGCGGCGGCGGCGGCCAGGCAGAGACGGGACCTTGTGGAGGCGAGCATTGTGGATGATGTTGTTTAGCCCGTTGTTGCGGGTGGGTGAGGATGTGTTGGTATGCGTGGTGGTTAGTATTTAAAACATATTGATTGATTGATTGGTGGTATTTAAGAGTTGAAGTTGGCCGGTTTGATGTGGTTAGAGCCAATCGGCTGCGTTCCTTGCCCGGACAACCTCATCCAACCGAAAAAGTTGACATCAGGGCTTTTCGAAGACACAACGACGGCTTCATCTGCTGGTGTATATTTCCTTTTACAACTGCGCATGCATTCCTATACATTAATAATTGGAGAGAGCATGGTCGCCTAATCTTACAGAGCAACAGGAATTATCCTTCTCCACAGCAATAGTTCTTTTCCCTTCGCATCCAACCGCCATCAACATTGACGGGTAGTGCAAATACTGTTCATCCACAACCATGCCGACCCCAAAATCCCCAAAGACAATGTCCTCGCGGCTGCTGACCATGAAAGGTATAATTTCCATACATATCTCCTCCAAAAAATACCTCAAAACTAACCCCATCCAGTTCATGCAACGCGCCGCCGCAGCCGCAGCCTCCTCTACATCCACAAAATACAAACACACATACCCCCTCAACACCCTCCACTTCACAGCTCCAACAACAACAATCTTACGATACCCTAAAGACGCCCACACCATCACCCAAGCGCCAAAAGAATTCCTCACATTCCAAATCTACACCTTCCACGCCCGCCACGGGCAACGCAGATCTAGAAGCCATATCCGCCGCGATTAGAGCTGAGGAGGAGAAACGGGCCGCCGCTATCGCGAGACAGGCCGCCGAGGCCGGCGAGGAGGAATGGGTCATTGAGTATCCGCCGGGGACGTTTCCCGAACCCCATCCACAAACGGCGATGGATGGCGGTAGTGTGTATGGGTTTGGCGATGTGGGGGATGAGGAGGTTATGGGCGGCCGACAGAGTTTTGGCGGGTTCAAGAGGAAAGGGAGGAAGGGGCTGGTATGTTCTCTTTCTTCTTATTTTCTTTCTGCAAAATTTATAGTTTCTAATCGGATTTTTTGTTTTTCAAACAAGCAGGCGACGGCGACATCTAGCTCGCACAACGCGAATGCAGATGGGGATGTAGACGGAGACGGAGACGGAGACGACGAAGATGAAGAGAACGATGACGGCCACAGTGGAAGCGGAAGTAGTGATAATGACGACGACGACGACGATGACGGTCTCGATGCACTCCTGAAGGCCGCTAAACAAAAATCTGAGAAGAAACGGGCTGAAAAGCGATGGAATGCGCAAAACAGCAAGAAGAGAAAATCCGGCGATGATGCTGTCGATCTCAGTCGGTTGACTAGTATATCTGGAGGCGTCGATAAGGGGGAGCAACAGCGGCAGCACAAACGACATCGGAATCAGTGGGGTGGGGGTGGGGGCGGGAGGAAGGGGAGGAGGTGAAACAGGGCTGTCACGAAGGTCTGAGTTCACATTAGTGATGGGCCGAATTGCCAGCTTCTTAGGGAGTCTCGTTTTGATTATTAGTGCTTTTTCATGGCATTTTTCTTTTGTACATGTACATCTCGGCATTTAGGGTATGGCGTTGTATGGTTTATGCATGGGGAGGCATGAGTTTTATTTTATTAGCTAGGCATCTGTATTGCGTTCCATGTCTATCACAGGTTGCGAAATGATCATCTATATGGAAGCATAACAAAATTTAGACTGTATCCAATATTAACAAAATAGTTGCTTTAAAACCCCCTAAAAATATATACAAGCAATGAGATGTAATATGCAATATGTATAATAGTACTCTTATCTCAACAATTGAAAAGGTAGTAAAAGGGGAGGGTTGGGAAAGTTACAACTTCGCCCTTCCCACCCTTTCCGCGTCATCCGCCTCCCACCCCCTCTTCCCCCGATAATTCACCATCAAATTCCACGCCGCAACCGTAACCCCCAATGGCGGCACAAGCAACAAAACCCACGCCCACCACCGCGGACTGGCCCCCGCAACCCGCTCCATTACCTTCTTCACTTCCCTTTCCAACGCCGCCCTGTCCCCATCATTCCACACAACCAACCCCCTCACACTCTCCGTACCCCGCGCCTCCGCCCGCGCCGCCTTCCCCTTCACATCCCCTTGGCTCTTCACCCGATTCTCCGCATCCTCCGCACTCAAATGTGCATCGCGCGCCCGCAGCCGCGCAATCTGCACCGCGGCATCGGACACGCCAACCATGATTACGGTCCCGCATAGCGCGTCCAGCCCGCTCTCGAAGAGCAGAGGCACGTCCAGCACCACGGCCCAGTGGCCGCGGAGGTAGTAGTAGAGCAGCGAGCGGTAGATCTCCCAGCGGACGGCCGGGTGGACGATGCGGTTTAGCACGGCGCGGTCGCGTTTGCGTTCCTCTGTGTCGCCGAAGACGCGCCGGCCAAGGACGGGGCGGTTCAAGGGGCGGCCAAGCTCCTTGTGCTTTGCTTTTGGCTTGTTTTTGTCGTTTGGGTCATCTGGGTCGTCGGGGAGGAGGAGGTCGGGGGTTGTCGGGCCGAAGTACTCGACTATGGCGCAGTAGCCTGGGGTGCCTGGCTCGACGACTTTGCGGGCGAGGATGTCGGCATCGATTATGGGGAGGTTGTAGGGTGGGGAGGAAAGGAGGGAGGAGACGGTCGACTTGCCAGTGGCTATAGAGCCGGTTAGGCCGATTAGGAGCATTGTTATAGGATTTTGTTGGAGGCGGGAATTGGGTTGGTTTTTGGATGTAGGGTGCTGCAAGGAGATGGTTCGGCTCTCCCGCTCTATCGAAGCGACCGGCGGGTAATAGTTGTCAATTGGATTGAGTTATTCGAGTTAAACATCCCGCAATAATACGACTCAAAGGCGCCTGCACAAGTATACACGTATGCGTATATCCGTGCCCTTTTAATGGGGTCGGATGCCACTGTTATTGGTTTCTGCCCGTTCCTCCGCGTAGCCGTGCTGTCGCCGATTGTTTACCGTGAGCGTGTAAAAAGAAGAGCAATCGGAGCCCTGTATATGTGCTGGAGCTGATATTTCGAATATCACTGTTTGATATTAATATATACACCCTGCCACCACCATGTTCGTCAGTTGTACGTAGATTCCTGGCTGCGATCTCATTTGATTATGCATGTTTGTGACATGCAGCTATGGATACATAGTTAGACATACCTCAACCGTGACCCGGAAACGCCACGAACGGGAAGGAAAGAAAAAAACAGAGCTAGCCAGCTAAGCTCTGATATGAAGATGGGATATATGCCCTCTTTGTACTGTACTGGCTGGTAGAATGATCTGGAGAATGTTGTTGGTGGTGGTTGAGGGAGATGATGGAAGTTGATGGTTGATGATGTAAGAACGGTAATTTATAAAACTGTATATTTAAGTTAAGTTACAGCCGAGGGAATAACGGCGTCAGATACAAATAGCCGCGACAAAAATGCCCGTCCTTGGTTCCTTTGCTAGTACGGTCAACTCCGCGTAACTCATTAATAAACATACAGTATATACAAAGATAGTAAAATAAATAGTTATACGTAGTTCTTTTTCTTTATTCCGGTACCTATTGTATTATTCAAAGAAAAATATCTAACCCGTGTAAAATGTAGAACTACCCAATCCAAAAATCTATTACATGTGTAGCTGTGATTTGAATAGTATCCAACTCTCTGTGTCCATGGATGCGTATGTGTATAATCTATAGGTAGCAAACAATTGATTTACCCCTTTGTTTTGACTGGGAGGAGGGAAGAGGCTCAGATGTTTTGAAAAAAAAATCCCGGATACCGCATGGCGGTGGAGGTGGAGGTGGAGGTTGGAAGGTGAGCTAAGCATGGAAACCCCGCCGGATTTTCAAGTAAAGCTAACCAGTCTGCAAGTGGCGTGAGTGTTCATGTATGGGGCATAAATAGGTGGCTAGATACGTGGCTGAGAAGGATAAATATTAGCCACTCCGTCTAGTTTCTCTTTTCCATACATTATGCCAAGATGGTCTAGCTTACCGGAATATATGTCCACTCCCTTTCTAGTATTCCTCTAACTTAACGCTCCCATTTTTGTCTATTCGTTCCGCCCACATCCACAAGAACCACGTGTGTTCTCCTCTATTAAAAACAAAGCCATGATCCAATTACATTTCTACATTCCATCATCCTGAATCATCCAACCACCGGTTGTTGCTGCTGCTGCATCTGTTTCGGGAATTTCCGCGCCGGTATCGGGTCACCAGGACGCCGCGGGTTCCCATCCCAGCCAAAATCGGGCCAGCCGTCTGGCAGGGTTGAGTAAGGGGGGATGGTGTAGCGGCCGTCGCAGAAGCCCTTACTTTTGCATGAGAGGTTGCATAAGCCGTATTGCTTGCAGTAGCAATCTTCGGCGGTGGGGCAGTGGACGGAGTCGCGGCCGAAGATAACTGAACATATGTGTTAGCTTCATTATTATCTTTTTGGGTTAAGTTTTAGAAACTCTTTTTTTTTCTCGTAAGTTGTGAGTGTAGCCAAAACGTACTATGCCACAAATACTCAAAGATGCGCCCGCTCAGCTCATCCGGTAGCGGGGTGTTGAGTAGCCACTCGCGGAAATGCTCATATTCCCACCTGGGCCGCTTATGTACCTGGTCAAGCGTGACGGCGAACTGGGCGCAGCAGGATACGCCAACTTCCTTGGGCACGGGGGTGCCGGGGAACAGCTCTTCAAAGCCGGATTTGAAAGCCGCGCCGGCGTGAATGTCTGCGCGCTGGGTGTCGGTGAAGGGGCGGATCTCGACAGGGCAGCCGAGAAACCAGACGCAGCGGAGGTTTACGTAGCCCTGCTGCGATAAGAAGGGGAGCTGGAGGTTTCTGATGATGGGCACGTTGTCGTAGAGGGGGTCGTCGTTGTGCCATTGGTAGCGCTGGGGGTGGATGAAGACCATGTGTTTTGGGAGGCGGTCGTAGTTGTCGATTATGTAGCTGAAAGGCTCATTAGTACTTTTTCATGATACGGGGCTTTTTTTTTAAAGGAATGAGTTTCTACCTCAGGTATACCATAGACTCCCTTCCCTTATTCTTCGGTACGGTTAGTTTTGCATTGGGGTTATCGACAATGTAGATTTTCTTCCCCCAGTCCGGGAGATACTCGTATAACCAGGAGGTATCGTCTTCGGACATGGCGGCGACGATGATTTCACGATCTGCGCGGCCGGATTCGTAGCCGGCGGAGGCTAAGAAGGAGGATAGACAATATTTTGCCATGCTGCAAAGGAGACAGAAAAAGGTAAGATAGACAAGGAGCATGATGCCGGAGATAGTGGGGGGTTTGCGCAATAGCCGCGGAGAGCTAGGTCTGAATGCAATGGATATAGTCATGGTTGGAGAAAGAAACGAAATGAGGATATTAAAGGGAAAATGTAGAAAAATTTGGAAACAAATCGGAGCACAAATGCTTTTAAAAATAAATCGATGCTTAAAAAAATAAATTTACATGAATATTAACCAAGGAAGAAGCAGTGAAAGAAGTGAAGGAGAGAAGGTGGTAAAAAGGGAGCTGTTCGAGGTCGACAAGCACCAGAAAAGACACCGTAGAAAGACTTATTCGGTCAGTAGAGAGAATTCTGGAAGAGACGGGATCATTTTTTCGAAAGATAGAATCCAGAGAAAGGAATGATATATATAAAGTCGGCGGTGCGGTGCAGGGTTCAGCTTGATATTTTTTGGAAATCAACAAATATCAAGCTTGAAATCTTTGTTAGAGAAGTACGCATAGTATAGAGAAGAAGAGAAGAGAGTAAGAAAAACAAAAAGAAAAGAAAAGAAAAGAAAAGAAAAGAAAAACATCTATCTGCTGATTCTGCTCTCAACCCCAGGAGGGGATCCCTATCTGGCAGACCAGACTGAGGAGAGAGATATCTCAGATACATACTGACACCTATTCTGCTACATTCCTCCCCCCACGCAATTCGCCTAGGGGCAATAATATTCAAGGATGCGCAGTTGGAATTGGCAGACTAAACTCATAATAGCCAAAGTATCCCCAAGGTCCAACCCGCGCATTGAGCCTGAGCGAGTCCCTAGAGAGGAGGGAAATAAATGCTGTCCAACCACGGTCCATAAGAGGCACGACTGGGGAGACGACGCACTAAATGCCGATCAGGTTTCAGAGTTTTTTTTCTTTTGTTTTTCTTTTTTTTTTCCCCACCCTCTTCAAACGGTTGGTTTCCCGCTTCGTCTGGGATTGTGTAGCCACGGGCAACGGAGTGGAACTTGCGCGCAAACCGGGATTGAGGAAATCCTATTCTAGTTATGTGTCCACATTATAAGTTTTCTGGACAGAAGCTTCTGTCTGTCGAGAGGCACAAGAGGCCGCAAACTGGGAGACCGGGGAAATATGGGGAGGTGCCATAGATCCATTATTTGATTGTAGGGGAGAATGTAGAATTGTTGTCTTCAAATACTGAAGTTGAATTAACTAAGTTAACCCTTTTGAATTTTGGAAGAAGAAATAACTTTCTCAACCAGAAACAGGGAAGAAGAAGATAAGATATTCATTCATTCATTATTAAATTAAATAGTTGAAGCAGCCAAGGCCTAGATCAGGGGCGGGCGGGACTCTTAGCGTCAGCCACACCGATGCTTAACTTAGTTATCTTTTATTTATTTAGTTAGTCAACTTATCTTTCATCGCTTTTTACCGCCACTAAAGTTAGTTACTTATTAGTTACTTCTATCTGAAGTGCAAAGTAAAGATAAATCTGCTCGAGATAGATAAAACTAAATAGGAACAATGCTCATGAAAGTGTTGTTCAAGAAGCCTGACGTTTAAGAACAATCTGATCTCCACACTTCATCAACGCTTGAGTCTGGGGTTTATATTATATATTATAAAAGACCTTGGACAAATGCGCGGAACCCTTAGGGGAAAGTTTAGCCATTCCTATCCCTAAAATGTCACTAGCAGGCTTGGTCAGTTAAATACAGAACATCCCAGATGGTGGCTTTTTTACTTTTTTTTTTTTTTTTAAAAAAAAAAAAAAAAAAAAAAAAAAAAAAAAAAACCCTGGAGAAATATACAAATTTGCGATGACGGGTACCCCCGCGTTTAGATATGAAACAAAAAGTTGGAACTAGCGGGTAAGTTTATCTGGACATTCTTGTCAACATCGCTTATGTAGTTATCCTCGTTTCTTTGCTGGCCTGGCGGATGGTGTAAAGAGTAACCTATTTTCTAAAATGAAATTCCGAGCCAAAAGAGGGAAAAGAAAATTGCAGGAATAATGAAGGATTAACTACAGATCATATTATTAAACAAAGATCCTGTAATTCAAGATTCAAATATGGCTATAATATTCTACCTTCATCCGTAAAAAGACGTACGTCTATCTAACGTTTGTGACCAAGAACCCAATGAGTCCTCAATTCGAACTCCTCCCGTTCGGTGCCATCTAATGTCTTCAAACTAGTCTCCCTTAACTTCAAAAAGTAGTCAACCGCACCTTCGAAATCCTCCTCATTCGTAGTCCAGCCAGTCCTGTCAACTGTTCCTTCTAGCATATCCCAAAAGTCTTGCGTCTCGTTTAAACCCTGTTGCGTCGTCCTGTCGGTGTTTTCGAATGTCATCTTTCCGTAAAATTATATGGACATGGGTCCGAAGTCCCCAATTTAGACCAATCCCTAGAGAAATACTACATATTAGCAGGTGTTTTGAACAACTGGAACGCAAACGCGCAACCGAAGCCGGGCTCAAAGCATGAAAATAAACTATATATATTACCTCTCAAGCCTGATCAGATATTCCCTGAGGGGAATAATGTCGTCATCCCACGAATTCCCCGCAAAGGACACCAATTCGGATAATGACTTGCCGAACGGTTGGGTAAAAAAGCCTTGCTTAGTAGAGGATTTGCCTTTGCTCTTTTTTCTTCATAAATGAGCATCTGTATTGACCGTGATACTTTGATCCCGAACATGGGTTTTCTCATCCTGGTCCAGTTGTTTGAAATTTTCGGGAAGATGCAATATAATCCCTCCGTTGTAATCGATTAGTCTAGAAGCTCTCGCCTGTAGAATTAATGGCGCCGCCCATATAGACTGCCAGTCAATTTCTACTAGATCTCCTGCCATTGTGGATAAAAATATTGCCACTATGAAGGTCCGGGTGATATATCGTTGGGCGGATCACATAGGGGTTACTGGGGATAACGGCAGAGATCGCATCAAGATATTTGTTCAGGAGTTGAATATGCTCCTCTGGGGATCTTTGGGCCTCCGAAAGTTTTAGGTATCCAGGAGCTTTGGCGGATGAAGACGCATATTTGCCGGTCCACGATATTTCACGTCGGGCGATAGATTCTAGGTAGGCTTTGATAGACTTCCCTTGATAGACGGAATGATGAAGTTAGCTGTTGTTGGTTTATCACACGCTATGATTGACAGGTAGATACCCGCAATCCATCTTACATGGCTCACGATCTATCGACATTTGCGATCTCTCCTTCTCCCAAAACTCCCTGAGTGCAAGAGGCCCGAATACGAATTTTCGTCGACCATACTCTCTCATAGACTCGGTGATATCGGTTGTAATTTCTGCGGATTCGCATCCGTCGAAACTGTCCTGTACAAAGTACAACGAGCCATAGTTTTGAAGACAGAATGTTAGTTTCTATTATCCAGGCGAAGCTAAAAGGTAGGTTCACGATCTGAGGTCAATGGAAAATTCGAAATCATCCTTCAAGAAAATAAGAATGCGGAGAACAGAAGCGTCAGGGAAGCTGCCAACAAAAACTCTCATAAAATACTCGCTAAGGTCGTCGTCGATCCCAAAGAAAACCCCACTGGCGAAGGAGTTGCTGAAAGCATCCTCGATTCTTTCAAGGGCAAGGAGAGGATAAGAAGTGATCAGACGAACTGCTCCTGTGCTATTCGATTTGTGGTGATGAGAGCCAAGCAGCTGTGTTCTATTTGTTTCCCCAGATCGCTTCTGTTCAGAGTGATAAAGATTGCAAAGAGATGCAAAACAAAACACTAGTGAGTGTTTCTCTCGGTGTAAATGATGGTTATATCAACATATGTAGAATACAAAATTGACCGAGGCATCCCGTTCGCTGGGGTATTGGGCAGTTATGCGACCCTTTGCTTGATACTTCAGAGCACAGCAGTTTGATGCTGCTGTTAGGGGAGGGTTGAACAAGTTAGAAAAATGGAACAAGGTCTGCGCATCATAACCAATATTTCCTACCGCCTTTTTTGCTTCTGTGGACGACTTTGGGATTATATAATTATTTCCTAATAAGTTAGTTATGGTTAGAGCCAACTAACTCCTTGCACTCCTTAACTAAACTAACTCTTGTGAAGTGAGCGACGTCATGGAGCTGGGCGGGGCGGAACTGTTGTGGAGGCTTGGCAAATATAATCGGAGACCTGCTTCCACCCCCCCCTGTGTGATCCTGAACTGGCGCTACAACCTAAATCAAGCACGAAACAAGCGAGAAAATTAGTTACTTCAATGCAGTGGAGTGGAATATTCTATGATATCTCTAGACTCTACTCCGTACGCGGTCTCTATATTACTGGGAGGCTCCACATCCATCGGTGAATTTATATAAGTAAATCAAGGTGCAATGCAGCATAACCCGCACTCCACCACGCTCAAGTGATACCTCCTCATCCTATGGCTGCTCCACACGCTAGCTAGGCCCGTCAAAAATGCTTCGCCCCCATTCTACGGGCATGTGACTTCGGTGCCGGCGCTTTACTTGGACATCCCTGTGCTTGAGCGATGTGTTCATTGGCGCTCATATTTGTAGGAATGACTTCGCCCGTGGCAGCGGACCCATCTTTCCCTCTTGGTCCTTGGCAAGCACACTAGTTGGGCAACCAAATGTCACGATGCGGCTCCAAGGAACGCCAGGGAGAAATGACAGGAGATAAATTAAAAAGGGCCTCAACGTGCCTGGGGGGATTGTTCGTAAATCTCCTCCCTTTCTTTACGCGTTATTTGAGGAGGGGAAATTCAACGATTTGCACATACACAATTACCCCACTTCCCATACAGCAGAAATCCTCTCGTGGATTGGAGTGAAAGATGTACTTGAGAGATCCATCCCGATATCTTGCGCTATTGCTTGCGCTGTCCGCATCTACAGCTGCGTCTGTCTTGAATCGAGCGCACTCGGGGTTAAGAATCGCTCTCAGCAACGCGGGACCATGCAGCCTCAAAACCGAAAACGCCTACGGTAAGCACGTGCATGCTGAATCGCCAGTATTTTTTTTAAAAGTTGGTACAGGAGAATGCTAACCCACCTTCGCCTGCTGCTATAGTGTCAGTGTTTCAATGTGAAAAGAACATATGTCGGTCAAGCCCCAAGCTTGAAGCTGCTGGCTGTTGCGAGCCGGATGGATGCTCCTGGTACAAGTCTTGCATTCCATATGACTCCGTCGAACGACGTTCTTCTGATCTGACATCGGATACAATTCTTTCCTGGTAACGATGATGCATTCTCCTATTAGCTATATTCTCATGTTTCACGAGTGAGAAGGTGATAATGTTTAACTAACTCTGTTTTGAAGTTCCGATTCAACCCAAAAATACTGCCAGTTCGCTACATTCAGAAAGGAGTCTCAGCCTGAATCAGGGTATACTCGAGGGATATGCACGTCGAACCCCCCTGAATCTGACCTCCGAATCCATCTCCTCGTGGCCAACTCGGAAGCTATCGTTTCGCAGCCCCGCGAAGATGACCGCGCTTACCAGCTCAGGATTCGAGGAATGCCTCACCGACTTTCAAAGCGAGCATCAGCCTTAAGCGATAGAAATGCGGGAATCGTGGGCGGCCTTGTAGCATTCTGGGTAATTATTCTCCTCACCCTTTGCATTTGTGTGGCCTCGAGAAAAAATCGGGACCCTCCAGCAGCGCCCGCGGCGGCTGCATCGGCCCAGAACAACACGACGGTATATGTCATGGGTCCTCCACCCGGTCAACCGGGCCAACCCCAAGATCCAAACGTCCAACACCCTCCCCTAGCCTATATTCTACCCGCGGGCTCGGCGCAAGCATCGGCCGGCCACCCACAAACTATATACATCCAAGGCCCACCTCCGCCAGGGGCTCAACCTATCCAGTTTATGCCAGCGCCTGGGCCAATTCCAGAACCACATCCGTCATATACCCAACCACCGCCAGCATACCAAAAGTGAAACACTAGTTCGTGATACGGTATGGTACTTATGGCGGTTTGTTTTTGGACTTAATGGTTTATTTACTGGCATATTATGGGACGAAGTGGCGTGCATTTGTGAAACATATTATGGCTCTCGTTGCGATGGTTTATGCGACGATATAATGTAATGTAATGTACACACATTCTAATGGTAACCTGTTTCTAAACGACAGGAGCTGGCAGAGAGTGCTGGTCTTTATTATGTACTGTACGTGTGCTCGTAACTATCCGTTGCATGGTAGCTACCGAAACTTAATACTTAATTCGCGGCAAGCCAATAGGATTACCTCACTGCCTTAGATCCATCCATCTCTTCTAACAATTATTACCACCAGCGGTGGAAGTGTCCGCTCCCCACAGTAATCCCGCCGAAGCCAAGGGCGGAATCAAATATTATCTCATTGGCTTGATGTTCGGGAGTCCCTACCAACCATACCTCGGCAACCACTGAGATGACGCTTAAGTAGTCCAGCCCGAAAGCTAGGGTTGACCAACGATCAGAGATACAATAATAATAATAATGATGATGGAAACCCTGCAGGACAACATAAAACTACCATCCAGGACTCGACTCTCCCTACTTCATCACGCAAAGCAATATACCTAAAATTTGAACAGCCCCAATCATCCAAGATGTCTTCCTTCACCACGCCTCCCCCGCAATCCTCAATATACCTCCTCTCATACCCAGCACCAGGCGTGCTGCTGGTAACCATCAACCGCGCCAGAAACATGAACGCGATCCACTACCAGGGCCATTGGGATTTACACGAGCTCTGGACATGGTTCGACGATGAACACACCCTACAAGTCGGAATCGTGACTGGCGCCGGCGATAAGGCATTCTGCGCCGGCCAGGACCTGCTTGAGATCGAAAGAAATAGCAAAAACCCCTCGACACAGTCGGCGCCCCTGAGGGGCCACCCGCCATCCGGGTTTGCCGGCCTTAGCCAGCGAAAGGGCAAAAAGCCCGTCATTGCTGCTGTGAACGGATTCGCGTTCGGTGGTGGATTTGAGATATGTCTGAACTGGTAAGGACTGTTCCTGGGAGTTTACTCGAGGGCACTATGAATTTCAAAAAATGAAATTCTTTTACAGTTCCCGGCTGATTCGAGATATCTGTTTTACTCTACCTAGTGATTTGGTTATTGCCTCCCCCAGGGCCAAATTTGCTCTACCAGAAGCGAAACGGGGCATATATGCGGCCGCAGGCGGCTTGCCTCGCATTTTACACATTGCAGGGCTACAGGTTGCATCGGAGATTGCCCTCACGGGTAGAACTGTATCTGCTGAAGAAGCAAAGGCGTGGCATCTTGTCAACCGGATTGCGAAAACGCATGAGTCATTAATAGACGAGGCGGTCGCGTTGGCGAAGGAAATTTCACAGCTGAGCCCGGATGCCATTATTGTAACTAGGGCTGGTTTGAGAGAGGCGTGGGAGGTTGGTGATGTGTCAAAAGCTGTCCGCAACACCCATGAGAGATATTCGAAGAATCTATTTGAGGGCCAGAATCTACGTGAAGGTATGTTTCATTGCACGCTTCCGGCCGGAGGTAGTTTTGTTACTGGAGTTGAATTCCCAATCCCTTTTTTGGGTTCTTTTTTGTCATATCGTCTAGTTATATTATGGTATGAATCTTAAGCTAATGGTCTTGGATTGTAGGTCTTGCTGCTTTCCGAGAGAAAAGACAACCTAACTGGGTCAAACCAAATCTATAGACCGCCATGGACGGCTTCATACTCTCTGCTGTTTCTTTTGTACAGGTGTTCTTTCTGCGGTCTGTAGCTAGATATGCTTATAATTAAACTATAAGGATCTCGAATATCCCATACACCTTTTCATTCATGCCTACCCCCATTATTCCTTGGGAGCGAAGCTTCTGTGGTTGTGTAATGTTGAGCCGTCGGATGTATGTATTCTCGGTAACTACGCATTGCCGAGGTAATGTAGTGTTACAAGGATAAATTACCGGCTTTTCGGTTACCTGCCCATCTCTTCTGCCGAACCGACAAAGAGGGCGGAAGAGTTTGACGGCTGAAGCTCCCAATGAAACAACACTTCAGGAAATAGAATCGTTGAACAATGTACCGAATACCGGCATTTAAGTTCGAGCGATTTTCGATTCATCTCCGCAGCTTATCTGATGTTGGCTATGCGATAATGGACCCTCCCGGCGCCCTCAAAACGCCTGGAGTTGCCCTGAGAGTTATGTGAGCTTTCGTGAGCTTTCGTGATCTTTTGTTTGAACTATTTACAACCTTTCTTTTAAAAGGTGTCAATTTCTAAAGATTCACCTTTTGCATTTTGATTTCAAACAGTCGACTCTGAAGAACCAGCAATAGCTCCAAAGATCTTGCAAGACACAGCTCACCGGGCTGCTGGGCATCCAGCATCCAATACTCCTGGCGGGTCAGTATTGAAACTCTTTCAAGTGTTTGTTGTGATTGTGAAGCTAATACGGCGGTCACAATAATAGGTATGGCCAGGACTTCATCTGGTGAGCTGGCAGCCGCAGTATCCAACGCTGGTGGACTAGGCGTCATCGGCGGCCTAGGGTACACTCCTAAGCAACTGCAAGAGATCATTGATGATCTCAAATCCAATCTGAGAGACCCTTCATTGCCGTTCGGTGTTGACCTTGCTCTCCTGAAACTGGGGGGAGGGGCCCGGAAGACAAATTACGATTACACGTCTGGACAGCTTGATGCTTTAGTAGATATCACGATCAACAGCGGTGCAAAATTGTTTGTGTCCGCTGTTGGCGTGCATGTCATCAAGAAACTGCACGATGCTGGCATTCTAATTATGAATATGATTGGTGCGCCGAAACACGCGCAAAAGGCTCTGGAAGCTGGGGTGGATATGGTTTGCGCAGAGGGTGGCGAAGGAGGCGGCCATACAGGGTCGATTGCGACTTCTATCCTAGTACCTGCTGTGTGTGATGTTGCGAAGAATTACATCTCACCCTTAACCGGCAAACCAGCGATGGTTGTTGCGGCTGGTGGGATTTTCAATGAACGATCCTTGGCTGCTGCTTTAATGCAAGGGGCACAGGGCGTTTGGGTCGGGACTCGATTCGTGGCCTCCATTGAAGCTGGCTGCTCTAAGACTCATAAGGATGAAGTTGTCACCGCTACTTTTGATGATACTGTTCGGACTCTTGATGTCAGTGGTAGGCCCATGAGGGTCAAAGCAAATGACTATATCAAGAGATGGGAACAGCAGCCTGAGAAAATATTGGCTTTGATGAAGCAGGGCATCATTCCGTATTCGAAGGATATCGAGGATGAAGTTGAAGATGCTGATCATCCATTTTTTGATGGGCCAGGTGGCTGCTGTTATTGACAAAATTCAGCCGGCGGCGGAGATTGTGGACGAAGATGGTTTCTGGGGCGTATGAGAGTGTACGTAAGGTATCTCTGGTAACTTTTAGGGCTTGCTTGTACGCCGGCTTTGATGGAACAACAGTTTTTCCGTTTAGTTTATCCTTCCAAACCAAACCAGCTTCTTATCTCATGATGATGGCTCACCACAGGCATCAGGCGTCACTCGAGCGCATTCTCGATCTCTCTCCGCAGGAGGTTCTGACTCTAGAGGAACGGGCACAGGCCGGAAATATCTTCTCCCAGTTTATTAGCCACTGTGAACCTCGACAAAGCGCTCACCCGTATAAGAAAGTAACGCTTGTTCGTTTAACGTATGAGTACTCAGAATCAAAGGACAAGTTCTTGCAACAGTTCTTCATTTATCTTGGCTTCTAGTTCCGTGAAAATAATGAATCACCGACCTTTGCTAGTGGAGTGTCTCGAATTCCTGACTTCGGACCATCTTCTCTCCCATCAAAGCAGAGGGAGGTCGAGGGAGTCTTGGATTCGTTTGCGGAATTTCTGTTTGGAAATTTCTTTCTGCCGTGTATGTACAGTCTTTTTTCCATTCTCATTTCCGTTTTACCTTATTTTTGATGAGCTCTTGCTTACATGTGAATCATGTGTAGTGAGAGCTGCGGGAAATAAAACACCGCAACCTATACCAGCAGCTCTATCCGCCAAGTTTGAGGATGTAGTTGGAACTCCTGCCAGACTATCGATTCTCCGACGTGATTGTCTCATCCGTGACCATCACCGGTGTGTGGTAAGCCGGGTCTTCGATAGAGAAGAGGCGGCGGAGAGAGTCAACCGAGACAGATCCAATGCACGAGACGACGATGGACAGCGGCTTGTCTATGTTCCTGGCCAATTTTCGTACCTCCAGGTAGCACATATCATCCCGCATTCAATCATGTCAACAACCAGGGACAATCAGGTACGTGTCTACGGATCTGATTTCATTTCATACCATTTCTAACATGTTTTGCGCTCTAGAGCGAAGCCAAAAAATCCACCCTGGCAATCCTCAATATGTTCGCTCCTGGGGTGATTCATTTGCTCAAGGGCTCGAATATTGACCGCCCAGCCAATGCTATAACCTTATCACTCGACATTCACAAGCTTTTCGGTGACTTCAAATTCTATTTTGGGGCGCTGGATCCTTCTACTCATCCATCTTACACCTACAGGATAGATTCTAGGGAAACGAATGTTTCTCCGTCCAGAAGGGCTGCCGGTTACCAGAACCCTCCTCCTCTCACCAAACCGGACCATCGATCCACCATCGGCGAAGCTACTTGCAATCCATCGAGCAATCAGTATTATCCTTCATCTTAGTGCTGCTGGGGTTTATATTGACAAGATCATTAGAGATATGGAACAACTGTGGGCTAAAAGTGATGGCTCTTCGGCTGTAGGTCACATTGTCTCTCTAGAGTTAGGTGGTTGGCTTGATGGAGTGGTAGCATGACGTGTTGTGCCTCTAGCCTAGTGGCCCCAGCTGAGTTTTCCTTGATGCCGTGCTTTTATCAGCCTTTGGCACGTTCATGATACCTACTGAAGTAATATTTCTATTTTTAATCATTCTTTAAAATGTGTTATTCGCTTTGGGGGAGAATATTGGCTGTCCTATTATTGGCCGGCGGAGATTTTGCAGAGACAAGCACCATCTCACCATACAAGACTTTTAGCTAAAAGTGGAAGCTGTCAGCCGGTTGTACTCGAGGAAAACTCGTGCTAGTTGGCCGGGCCTAACGCTCGCAAAGGACGCGACGATTCCAGCAGGGCAGTCATTCTACAGGACCTCTCGCCCAAAAGGACGTACAAGACAATGATGCTGGAATGTCCCCGATCGCGGGTGAACTGGTTAGCATGCTCTCTCTCGGTCGGGGAATGAATGGGAATCCGAACGTAGCTCACCGAGGGTGATTGCTGCGATCCTAGGCGATACAATGGGCATGGACAGTCCAGCGGCGACAAGGGCAGGCCCGTTGGGCGTCTATGGAGTAACAGGATCCATTGGCACTTCTCACTCCCTGAGCCAATCAACGTAGACTGAAGAGGAGCCTTTGTCTGCTTTTCCCGCCTAGACTGGCCGGCGGGACCATGAATTTCACATTTGGTCCCATTTGGTCTGGTCTCATACATTTCTTAGCATGAGTCCCATTAGGACCTAGCATCAAAAAAATCTGAAAATGAATCATTTTTTTCAGAAACAGTGTGAAAAATGACCAGATTTAATTTAAGAATAATGAAACAGAAGTAATTTCTCAGAATAAATAATAAAAAATAATTATTCTTTAAAAATCAGAATGAAACTGAGACTGAAAATTAAATTCAGTTTTATTCAATTTATTCAGTGATTATTTATATAATTAGAATTTGATGGAGGTGGAAGGTTGGTTGATTGTACACTAATCTAGCCGCGGCAGCATTCTATTCATACGGGAAGAACATAGGGTTAATTTACGGTGATTACACCGTGAATCCTGTACGTGGGAAAGGTTAATCTGTTCTATTCGTGTGGGAAGTGCTAGCTATGTTATATAACATAAGAGATCACGTGCAGGCGGAGTGATTGCTAGGGCAACATCATCAAGGCGGCTGCTGCTACACCCTCTCTCACATTACTATCTGAGATCTTAACACTGTGATTATCTTCAAACATTATATAGAAAAGTCTGTCATACAGTCTCTGAGTTCTTTCAAATTATGCTATATACATTAATTTCAGGCATTCTGACTCTTTCTGTCTGTAAGATTTAATAAATTAAGAAATTACTGAAATATAATAGTGCTCAGAGATTTAATTAATTTATCTACTATTATTTTCTCAGTAAAGATGTACTTTAAAGATATAACTCTCTTATTCAGCTATGTATATAAGAAATGAAATTATATATTAATATACTTACTGTACACAGTTACTATTATTATAGTAATTAGACTGACTGTATAATTATATCTAAGATTAGAATCAGAATATTTAATAGTCTTATTATTAATTTAATTCATTTTATTACATAGTTTTAATATTAAGTAGTAGTCTTATACTATCTCAGTAAGACTTACTGTCTACTCTTATTATATTTTTTAAATAAGATTATAATTTTCACTTCTTAATTTAAATTATTTTTATTACTTTAAATGACTTTAAATCTCATTTAAGTGTTATTAAAAAGTGTTACTTTTTAAAAAGTTAAAAATAGTCTAAAAAAACCTTAAAATGTCTAAAAATAGTAACTTTATATTAAGAATGAGACTAAATGAAATTAAATAAAATTACTTTCTTATTTTTTCTAAGTTATGATCTTATTTTGAGATCTGATGAATAGTCACTTTACATGTTTTTTTAATAATTAATCTCAGTGAAATTCATGCTAAGAAATGTATAAGATCAGATTAAATGAAATTAAATATGAAATTCATAATTTCAGCAGCTAGTCTAATAGTGATCAGATTAATTAAACTCTTATTATTAATATAGATTTTAATCAGATTATTCAGAATGAATATTAAATTCATTATTATATTATATAATTATGTTATTTTATACACTGTCTTACTAAGAGTAATATACTTAGTCTTATTTAAGCTGAGAAATATACAAAATTACTTGATAAATTATCATAATATAGAAATACTCACAACTTTAAAAATAAACTCAGATATAAACTTATAATTATTATTAAGAGAGTCAGCTCAGTCAGAATCTGTGTTATTATTATTATTATTATTCTTTCATTATACTCATATGCAAGCGGAGCTTATGATGAGTTCTTGCATGATGTTAAATACAGGCCAAGTGTTGATTATACAGGAGGAAATACAGGTGTTGAGACCATATCAAGATAACAAGAACATAGGAAATACAAAGAAGTGACAATTAAATACATGCGATAATAACTTCCCAGCCCAGGAACATAGAGCAATTTTATTGAAGCAATTTGTACACCTCTGTATTTATTAGAAACCTGAGGTGCTTGAGTTCTGGATTTAATGTATTCTCTGCGGGTTTCAAACTCACACGCCCTGGTTTCCCACGCCAAGGCGCTACCGGGTGGCCGCATTAACCATTCGGCCACCGGGGCTCAGAATCTGTGTATTTAATTAGTGTATATATTGTATTCAGTAAGTTACTCATGCTATCATTCAGAGTCTTATAAAATATACTCAGATTCTTAGTATTATAAAGATAGTATATAATATATAGTATAGTTTTTCATACTTTATTATTATTATTATTATTTATAAGAGGTCTATACTGAATAAATCAGTATAATATATAGATCTTATATAACAAAGAGAAAAATGTTAGAGAAGAAAAGAAAGAGAAAGTGTGAAAATCAGTAATCAGAGTAAATATTTATACATGTATACAGTGATGTACATAGACTGACTGTGTGACTGTGTCTGGGACCAGGACCAGATTTTTTGATAGTCTCATTATCAATTCAACTGATCTCATTACACAGTTTTAACATTAGATAGTAGTTTCATACTGTTTCAGTGAGACTTACTGTCTACTCTTATCATATTTTTCAAATGAGATCATGATTTCCACTTCTCAATTTAAATTATTTTTATTACTTTAAATGACTTTAAATCTCATTTGAGTGTTATCAAAAAGTGTTACTTTTTAAAAAATTAAAAATAGTCTAAAAAAAACCTTAAAATGTCTAAAAATAGTAACTTTATGTCAAGAATGAAACTAAATGAGATCAAATAAGACCACTTTCTCATTTTTTTCAAGTCATGGTTTCATTTTAAGATCTCATATATAGTCACTTTATCTGTTTTTTTGATAGCCAGTCCCAGCAGGATTCACGCCAAGAAATGTATAGAACCAGACTAAATGAAATCAAATGTGAAATTCATGGTCCCGGCGGCCAGTCTAGATGTACATGATAAAGCTTTGAGACAGAAGAATAGAAATTTCATAGATTTTCAGCTGAGAATCAGTGACTGAGAATTAGAATATTAGAAATCTGTGAAGCAACTGAGAATTAAAACAGTAGAAATCTATGAAGTGTAACAGAATAGACTATATAATTGATCAGATACAGCTCATCACATTAATCTCTTATTTTCAGAAGTGATATAGAATCGTGAGTGTGTAGTTCTCATCAGTCAAGAGCTGCTGTCTTAAATAATACAGAGCTCAGAGTTCAGATTAGACAATCATAGTCAACTCATTTCACAAGATATTATTAGCTACAGCTGTGAAATCTCTTATTAAGAATATCTTCAATCTCTTACTCAAGTTCATTGTCTTCTTCTATAATCTCTGATAATTGTCAATTAAAAGTCAGTTGAGAAGAGAATAGATCAGTGACAGCATAGTAGAGTAAGCTTGTATGAAAGATATTATAAATTTCTGATAATATGTTAAGATAGTAATTATAACTAGACTGACTGCTGAGATCATGAATTTCACATTTGATCTCATTTGATCTGATCTCATACATTTCTTGGTGTGAATCCCGCTGGGACTGACTATCAAAAAAACATGTAAAGTGACTATATATCAGATCTTAAAATGAAATCATGACTTGAAAAAAATGAGAAAGTGATTTCATTTGGTCTCATTTAGTCTCATTCTTGGCATAAAGTTACTATTTTTAGACATTTTAAGGTTTTCTTTAGACTATTTTTAATTTTTTAAAAAGTAACACTTTTTGATAACACTTAAATGAGATTTAAAGTCATTTAAAGCAATAAAAATAATTTAAATTGAGAAGTGAAAATCATGGTTTCATTTGGAAAATGTGATAAGAGTAGACAGTAAGTCTCACTGAGACAGTATGAGACTACTATCTAATGTTAAAACTGTGTAATAAAATCAGTTGAATTGGCAATGAAACTATCAAAAAATCTGGTTCTGATCTCAGACACGGTCACACGGTCAGTCTAATTATAACTGTCTAGAACTTTTATCACTTTATATTTAATATAGTGATAATTCAGTGTATAAAATGAATATATAATTCATATATTCTTAAGATTTAATTACATCAGATCTTCTATCTTATATTACTCAGTAAAATCTCAGTAAATATTAATTCAGTCTTCTTAATTCTGTTTAGCACTTATTATAAAGACTTCTACTCAGTTACAAATATCTCAGAACTTTATCACTATATTATCAGTGATCTGAATTGAACTGCAGAGATTCAGTGTGAAGTGTATAATCTCTAGAAGATTTAATACTTTTATATAATATCTATGTGTGAGAAAGAACAGGCTTACATCTGTTAAAATATTATCTCAGTCATTGATAGTGACTTCAGTATGTAGAAGAAGATTATATTAATCATCTTATAAGTAATTACAGAACT